AAGATGTGTTATCTTTTTGTAGTTATTATGAATATCTCATTATTCATGAAATAGATATTAACAAGCAATAGGGGTATTAACAAGTGTTTGAATTTAGTTTGACCCATTTGATGAGACCATGATAATGAGCCATACTGTTTTTTATGAATCAGGTGACTTTTAAGGTTACAATAAAATCTCTTTTGCTGCTTTTTGTTACTGTATAAAGGAGAGCACAGAGTTACTGGAAAGTCAAAAAGAAAAAAATATTTTAATTATTTCTGAATGCGCTTTTCTTGAAATACTCTTTGTGCTTTTAACTAAAAAATGACGCTTGTAGCTGTCTCATGCATTAGCTGTCTTAGTTTAATTATGCTTCCTTTCCATGTGTGTTTGCCATTGTTTCGTGTGATGACGTTTCATGTTTTATTGGTAGTAGCTGAGGATTCAGCTGAACCTTGTCCCCACAACACAATAGTACATCATCTCAAAGATGTAAATGCATGGCACTGTAATGGGAAAAAAAGTATTCAATTTATAGAAACAAAGCAACTAAATGATACACCTCTTTATGAGCCTCCTTCAATGGGTAATTTTATCATGCTTGCTACAACAGGGTCAAGATGGTTGCAATAGAATCACTGTGTTGGAAGTAGTCTTTAAAGGCACATACAGATAATCCTTCTGTGAGTTGGCAAGGGATTAAGCAATACCTGAATCATCCAAAAACAGTTATCAAATCTAATATGGCTATCTCTTCTCCCTTTTTCCTTCACATTAAAACTATCTAGCTGTCAACTCTTTGGGTTTTTTGGGGGTTTGTTTTTTTTCTTTTTTACAAACCACTTATTCCTTATTGTAATTCAGCTTTAAACTGTTTCAAGTTTATCTGTGTCTCTTCTGACATGTGGTACTCAGAAGTGAAAGCAGCATTTTTTAGCACTGTAAGCTCTTGTCATTTGATTGTTAATAAACCATTTGCAGCCTGATTTTGATACTTTTGCCCCATCTCTCTCAGTGATTGCATGACTTTGCCAGTACATGAAAGAGGTTGGGATGATAGCCAGAGGCCTTAAAATATGCATCTAACAATTCTAATTAACAGGCTACTTTGTGGTCTTGGTGTGCTGGTTAAGGTGAATCACATGATAAGACATAAGGGCCATATAGCATTGATAGCTGTTAGCTTCCCAGCTGGCACAATGCTGAATGCAGTTCTACATGCTATGTAGATTTGACTCATGCATGTACATTGACTGGTGTAAGGCAGCACTTCATGTAACCAGTGGAGAAAATAATTCCATTCATATGAGGACCCTTTACCTAATTTTTTATACAAACACTGAGGGATGTGAAAAAGATTCACCGATAAGGCCAATAGCAGTAAGCAAAATAAGTTCATACCATTGCACTTGCAAAATGGGGATACTGGTGGGGAGAAGGTTAAAATTATCAGAAAAATGGTTTAATCTTTACTTCCTATGCCTTTTTTTTTCCTTTGCACCATTGATAATCTTTGATCAGATGTTCAACTGTTTTTGCGTTAACTGGGTTTTTTCTACACCATGTACTAGTCTGATGATCAAGATTCCTAGGGATTTCCTATATCTTAGTGTAAGTTAACTGAGAGAAAGGCTTTCTTTCACATAATATAGTTGTTACAAAACAGCAGTACCCATAGGAATGCAACCAAGTATAAGAATTGGTCATAGTGTTTACCTTTAATATTGACAAGCCATGTCTGAACTTGGGTAGTAGTTCTGCATATGTTTATGGGCATGTACATTAAACTAAGTCCTTCAAAATTACTAGAAGTTTCTTCATCCCAAATCATAGAATCATAGAATGGTTTGGGTTGTAAAGGACCTTAAAGCTCATTTAGTTCCAACCCCCTTCCACAGGCAGGGACACCTTCCGCTAGACCAGGTTGCTCAAAACCCCATCCAGCCTGGCCTCGAACACTGCCAGGGATGGGGTAGTCACAGCTTCTCTGGGCAACCTGTTCCAGTGCCTCATCACCCTCATTGTAAAGAATTTGTTTCTAATACCTAATCTAAATCTCCCCTCTTACAGTTTAAAGCCATTCTCCCCTATCTCCAAATGTCCTTGTAAAAAGTCCCTTTATATATCTCTTTTAGATGCCTTTAGGTATTGGAAGACTGTTATAAGGACTCACCCAAATCTTCTCCAGACTGAGCAACCCAAATTCTCTCAGCCTGCCTTCATAGGAGAGGTGCTCCAGCCCTCTGATCATCCTCATGGCCTCCTCTGCACTCAGTTGAGCAGGTCCACATCCTTCTTATATTGTGGCCCCCAGAGCTGGATGCAGCACTTAAGGTGGAGTCTGACAAGAGTGGAGGGGGAGAATCACCTCCCTCAGCTTGCTGGCCACACTCCTTTTAATGCAGCCCAACATACAGTTGCCTTTCTGGGCTGCAAGCACACATTGCTGGTTCATGTTGAGCTTTTCATAAATCATAACTGGGAGCAAGGCTTATTAGAGTGAATTACTTAATGTGCAGATTTGTTTCTTGTGCTTTCGTAATGGCTAATTATGTGTAGTAGTAATATTATTAAAGGTCATATCGCACTTTCGGAGTGGAAATAGCACAGTCATTTGTTCACAGAATAGTCTCAATTTCTTTCTGCTACTTAAACACAAAAGGTGATGCAGCATAGTCTGATTTAGTAGCACTTCTTTATAGTCTACATATTTTTGAAACATAAAAATGTCTAATGGTTGCAGAAGACAGGTCCTTTGTCAGACATAGAGGCTAAGGGAACCCTTCTTCTGAATCTGAGATTCAGAAGGATCAGATTGCTTGTCACTAATCAGTCTTTCTTATTTTAAAAATGAAACACATAAAAACTTGCAACAATTTTCCCTATAACTCCTGCTTGCCAATGCTAGTTTCCACTTTTAGATCTGTTGCCTCTGACCCACACAGGCAGTTCTTACTCAAGCAAGATAGATATGCTAGGGGAGAAAGTCACCCACTCAGCTGCTGGCTGAGATGATGAATCACACTGACCAGCTGCAAAAGACAACAAAACATTAACACTTTTTTCCTCCCCACTCAATTATGTCAAGTGGTAACATACTGAGACTAATACATCGAATGTTTTACTGTACTCCAGCAGCTTACAGGCATCAAAATAATCAGGTTAGCATGAACCACAAAACATTAGTGTAGCAGTATAACATTGAAAAGAACAAGAATATATATATGTTAATTAAATGTAAATTGAATTATTTTTTTCTGGCAGCAGAAAGACAGATCTCAAGATTGAAACCTGTGTTGTGCTAAGTGTTGTACTGTATAAGAAAAGTTGCAATCTATTTACAGTACGCTATGTCAGACAATGGCCAAGGAAATATATATGCATTAAGTGCATATAACATACTCATCAACATGTACCGGTATTGTTATTGCATCATAAAAATACAGCCAAGCACAAATATTTGCTCTGATGGCCTATGTCACAATCATTGAGCTCACCAGGTACCCCAACATGATCAGCAGCATACCATACGAAAGGCAGCAGAGGAGACTTGGCCCCTTTCATATGTGGAGACATTTTACACCCTCTGCTACAGCTTTATCTAATTACAGGCTAGAGTTAACTTCAAGACCTTGAAGCCAGTCCAAGTCATTGCATCCAGTATTCAGTTACTGAAGGAAACATAGCGTAATCTCTTTCATCTGTTAATAAACTACATCTCTAAAGCATCAGGTTTTTTGCTACAAATTGGAAGAGTGCTCAAGAATCTCAGTAATGTCTAGATACCATCTCCTAATTTCCAGTTGAAATTTCTCAACGGCCAGTTAACACCCATTTGTTCTTGTGCCAGTGTTGTCCATTACCACAGATATTCACTTAGAATGGCAGAAGGCTATCTCCTTGATGTATTTATAGCCCAGTGAAAGCCCCTGTCTTCAGCTTCCTAGACTAAACAAGCCAAATTATCATAGCCTTCACTTTTTAAATAGGCTCTCTACTTCTCTGATCATCCTAATAGCCTTTCCTGCATTCATTCTGGGCTCGTAATCTGAGCTGAGTGATCAGATTTAGACAAGCTTTCTACACAAAGCATAGCTGTGCCTTTTGTAATGATATTGATACTTTTCTAATTTCTCCTTCTTTCTGCATAAAACCAATCACTGCTTGTGAATAAAGACTAAAAGGCACCAGCATTCTATGTTTAATGAAGGGATTTTTAAAAAGCAGCTATTATGCCAACTGCATTTCATATGGCTGAAGAAAGCATGCTTTCTATTCAGTACACATTTCAGAATTTTTGAGATCTTTTCTGGCCCAACTCTTTTTCATCTCAGAATATAAAAAATAGGTTAATGCTTACCTCAGAAGCACAGTAGGAGTAGCTCTTAAGTAACACCTCTCTTCCTTAACTTTCTTCTCTGATAATTGTTTTAGCAAGTGCTGGCAAAATTGTCAAACTAGAGACTTGTTTGGTCTTGAAACAGTTAGGTTCCCAAAGTGCCTACCAGTTACAGTATCACAGATTCAGTAGTATTTTCTAATAATCATCATTTATGTCAGAACAAAACTTTCATTTTACTTACATTTGTGGATTTAAGCATGATGAAGTTTGGCAGGTTTGTCCACTGTATTTGATGTTTTTAATATGAGGAAGTTTTTCCCCAGGTCTTGATTTATACTCATCTCAAATGTCCGAAAAGACATGCATTTCTGTCGGTGGCAACTGAGACTTCAGTACCCCTGAAAGGTTTACAACTGCAAATGCTTCAGTTCCATCAGGTCTGCCAACAAGAGCCAATCTTCAGTGTCATGCCATGGTTGCTGGTTCACGCTAACCTGCCTGAAACAAACTTCGCTTCCATTACAGATACACATCTGCTGTTGTCCATGTTACATTGATTAACATGTATGTGCATTCATTCATACTTCTATTCATGATTCATTTTTACTAAGCATGTAATGTGCTATTACTCTGCTGCTGTATACATTTTGTATACATTTCTGTTCTTCCTTGAAAGACTGTGAATGCTTCGGGCACTCCAACCGGTGCAGTTACATCGAGCTGCTCAATACGGTCATTTGCGTGAGCTGTAAGCACAACACTAGAGGTCAGCACTGTGAGTTATGCAGGCTGGGCTACTTCAGAAATGCTTCTGCAGAGCTGGACGATGAAAATGTGTGCATAGGTCAGTTCTGGGATAATTGCGGCTTTTCTTCTGTGCATTTTCAACTACTGGCAACTGCTAGGGACCGCTGCTGCTTACTTGCCAGTTGAGCCAGAATGAGCTTTTTCAATGGATAAGAACATCTGTGTAGACTTTTCATGTCATTTCTGTTGCTTCTTTAGTGTCTCAAGGAAGTATTATGAATCTCTATACAACAGTGAGCCCTCTGACCCCTCTGACTAAGGGTCCTGGGAAGACTTTACCCAGAAGCCCCCAAGAAACTGTGCTGTCCTTCAGCAGAAGGGAACCATGCTGGAGTTGCACATATGAAAACTGAAGAGTTGAGTCAAAAATACCTATTCCCAGTTTATTTTTTTTAATTATTACTGCAGACTCTTGCTTACTTGCTTGGAGACCTAAAAATGTTGCCAGCTGCAGCAAGAGCACATGGGAAGCGGTGCTTATGAATCCCTTTTATTCACTTCATAAAAACATGTTGCAGCTAATTCTGCTCCCAGGCACAGGCCTGTAAATGCAGTGTTACCTCCCCTCTACTTACAGGAGAAATTGAAATTATGTCCATGTGTTTAGGAGCAGAATTTGTCAAATCTGTTTGACATGTCAGTTTGGAAAAGGGATTCCTAGGTGAAAATGTGCTTTAGACCTAGCATCTGCTATAAATACCCAAAATGCAGAATTAAAGAAAATGTCAAAATGTAGCAAAAAAAGAACATTAGAAAAAGATCTTTATCACAGTAGAAGAATATTCATTGTTCTCATGTGACTGTCACCACAGACAGTAAAAATTAGGACACTAGGTAAAGTCTGAAAATAGTCAATAAAGGAAGGCTCATACAATGAGCAGTAGTTAACAGGCAGCACAAAAGAGACTGCTCTAATAACAGAGGTAGAATATTTCATTCTGTAATGTCTCTTATAGACATAAGAATCAGTAGAACCTGTTCTGGATTTTCGCTGTGAATTTCTTTTTCTTTCCATTTCCAGGAAGCAAAACCAAAGAGTATTTATAAGATATTTTCATGCCAAAATAGACTATGGGTGAATAAATTGTATTTCAATATTGTTTATAATCCATTGCTGAGATTCAAGCCAGAAACTATTTAGGTTGCTATTATTTGTTTCAGTCTGCAGCTTGATAGATTTACATTTTATTTTGTGATAAACCCACAGATCCATCCACACACTGCATTTTATGTGTCCTCCTTTTAACTTTACTTGGCAACACATTCAGAAAATGCATTATCTCCTTTGACATTAATTAGTCTGAGTTAATAAGAACTTTAGCAGGCAAGTCATGATTTTGTATGACTGTGCTGAGGAGATTAACCCAATCAGATTTCCTTGGAAAAAATCTGCTATCCCTTATATTTGTTGGCTGTAGATGATGGACATCACTGGTATGTCATCAGCGCTGCATAATTTCAGCTGCCTAAACAGGCCTAATGAATATGACACTAAATTACTCTATTTGAGAACTTTTATCAGCTCATTCAGTAAGTTGTTTTCCCATGTAAACTGAAATGTTAAGACAGTAGCTGTAGCTACGTAGGACAAGGAAGTTAATAATCCAAGAATCAAAAATAAGTACACTTTAATTTTGAACTGATATATTCAGAATGCCTTAGTAAAACAACCATGTACCTCAAAATTGCCCAGCCTCTACAGAAATAAAATGAAAAATCTTTTCATTTAACGAAGTCTTTATTTCAAAAAAAAAAAAAAAAGCTAACACGATGTATTTGCTGACTTTCCTACTTTAATGCAAGCAGAATTTTCTTGGGATCCCACAAGAACTATACTATGTGAGATAACTATAGTATCAAACCCTGGTTTGTTACATATTAGGTAATCTGTTTTAAATAAATAATATTCTGGTTGGATTAAGACAGTTTTCAGGATCATGGTGATCATACTGCATACAAAATATAGTATCCTAGCTGATTTGCCAGCTTAAGGAAACTTTTATACTACTACTAGCTTAAAGTCAGTGAATTGAAGCAGATAACTAAGCACTTTTCAGAAAACAGAGGGTTTGCTGAAAGTTCTTTCCTGAACCGGGGGTCCTAGGATTTAATCAGGCAAAATGTAGACTATTTTCACCTCTGAGAGAGTCGATGGATTCACCATCCTTCTAGGTCAAGCACAAAGAGTCTTGCTCTATTGGAAATGCTCATTTCTCTTTTCTCCGAGTTTAAAAGCAGCATTTTGGGGTTTAAGTATGAGTGAAATGTTGACGTGAATATTTTAAATAAGCAGATTTCCAGTGACATATGCAAGTCTTATTCCCATACAAAAGTCATTTTTTCCAGGCTAATTCTTTCCTCTTCAGCAATGTATGTAGAAAAGTAAAAAATGTTTGAATAAGCTTTGGCTCTGATTTATCAAAACTACTTACATAATTTTCATAAATATATATGGTAAGTATATGGATAACAAATCTGTGAATCATAGCTGATGCTAACTAAACGGAGAAAAAGTAAAATGTTTCATTTTTTAAACTGACAAATTACCAAAAATATAAATACTGAGAAGGTTTTTACCAGTGAACCAAATGCAACACATTATACAGTAGGCTTAAATCTAATTTCATTATGCCCATAATTTCTTTAGAAGCAAAATAAATTGTATTTCCTAAAATAAAATAACAAAAATTTGTGGATTTGCCAGTTAATTGCAAAATTACTCTTAAAGGCAACTCCAGTTTCTAAAAATCATTCACTTGACATGCTTATAGTGAAAAAGAATTTAATAACTCAAGCTTTTTTATTTCTACAAGATCTTGATAAAGTCCTCTAATAACCCTCATTACAGTGAATACTCACATTGGCAAGCATGGATAGCATGGAAACCACCAAGTAGACCCAGAGTAATAAAATATTTCCTTTGCCTTACAACATAAACACTGAAATGGTAATTATCACCACACCTACAAGAAAGCCAGCCTTGCAGTCATTTAGGCTTAAGCTTCAATTAACACCCCCTAAACTATATATCCTTGGGATTAAGTGAATGATGAGGGTTGTCTCCTAGCCACTGTCAACCCAGACTGATAAGGAGCAAGCATGCAAGCTTCAGCTGATTTTCCCAACCTGCTTTTTTGCTTATTTTCATTGTGTTTTGTTGACAACATCACATTAATATTTTGAATCTCAGTGAACAGATGACTACTACTGTCATCTTCCCATGTTTCAAACAGTCAACCACCAGATGGAGGTTAGGAATAAAATTCCTTTCCAGTTCAGGGTTCCCTTCCCCCCTGAACCTGGTATGGTCTGCTTATCAGGATGATCTGAGAGTGTTAATTTAATGTTACTAAATGCCCTGTTGTTGTAAGGGCATTGGAGATACTGCCTCCCTGTGGCACATTGGAATTTTGGCTTTTGAGCTTTTTAATATCCTTAGTATTTGGCAGGTCTTAGGAAGTGTTCCATGGCCCATAATATTGTGTTGGACAATGAGCTTGGACCTTCAGTGTAGTTTATATAGCTGTGGTATCAATTGTGTACTGGGCAAGGTGGAGAATAGATTCAGTTGCTAAAGGTTACTGGGTCTGTTTAGTGTTCTGATTTGATCTACTACTTTTATAAAGGGCCTTGCTTGAAGTTTTGTTTCCACTATCTACTTTCCCTTAAACAGCACAATATGGGCCTGGTACTTTTTATGTATTTATGTGATTGAGTTCAGTAGGAAAGCTTTCACTGATTCAGGATCAGGTTCTTGTTCTCTGGAAAATATACCATTATGTACCTGTAATATTCAGATCATAGGCCATACATTTGTTTCACACTTTTTTAAATCACTGTAACTCCATTATGTCCAACCAAGCTATTTTTAATTTACAAAAACTGGGCCCTCTTTATAACATAATTCCAAACTTTTTGTCTTGCAAGGTTTTCTATAACCATTTTTGAAGCAAGTTTTACTTCCTGCATTCAGTATGTATCTCAGTTCTATGCCTGTTTACATAAACCATACATCTGGTTAACACCAGAAATGCCAGCTTTTCAAATGGCACTCAATGTGCCATAATTCTGCTCAGTCTTGCACAGTATTTTTGGCATGTCATTTTCCAACTTCATTAATGAATGGTGCTAGCTAATTGACTATATTACTATTGTGGAACTCTGTTTGCCAAAGGTAACTATTCTTCAGCATACGAAATGTTCAAAGTGCCATCTGTAATTTATAGTTAATAAACACTGATACAACAGATGACAAATGTATTCCTGGTAATTTTTTTCCTGTTGCAGTTTTTCCATTGGACTTTTTTTTATATAAATATATTTTTTACTTCCCAATTAAACTCCATTTTGTTATTTACAATACTGCTCAGGTTTAACCTCATGCTGGGGAACACCTGCCAAAGGCGGTCATCAAAGTAGCACTGATGCAGAGACATACAAAGCCAGACTCCCAGCAGGTTGCCCAGATTCAGGAATCAATTTGTGTATCTCTTGCCTTCACTAGCAGCAGAGATCAGATGCTGCCAAAAAGTGTCTGTGGTCTCAGTTGACAGTGGAGTTACTCTGGGTCTACATGGGTCTACATACAAATAAGATACGGCTCTTCATTAGAATATATATATATATATAAATAAACTGAAAAACAGGAGTGTCAAAAATGGGCTCTGCCTGCTACAGTCTTTTGTCTTTGTCCAGCTAGCCAAAAGCTGAACAGGGATATTGTAATCACATTAAAGAAAAGGGCTGTGAATGAACAACACAGTAAGTGTTGTGGGAGGAGGTGGGTTACCCTAGTCATTCTTTAATTAGTTGAACACACGTAGAAAATATACAGCAGACAATGAGTCTCATCACATTTTCCATCTGCCCACTGGGAGGTGAGAGAAATTAAAACGGCAGTTTAAATCCAGTTCTGATAAATTTTGCATTACATTGGTGCTCATCTCAAGGTTTTCATTGTGGAATACGGAAAAGGTTTATTAATGTCACTGATAAATGCAATCTCATCAATTTAATGGCAAATATCCACAAAAATTATGCTGCTCAAAACTATAAAGGAAGACTATCTTGGAAATTTGTAAAGTGCATTTATATAGCCCTGTAAAGACATTCAGCACTTCCAAAAATATTGAATAATACAGATAAGCCTATTTTAATAATGTGAAACATTTCACCCTGATGGCACATTGATATATCCATACTATGCAAAGCTATTCTAATCGTCATTAAATTGTTGAAAATATTCTTACCAAAAGAGAATCTGCTACAATCACTTATCCATGGTATCTTCTGCTTTTATGTCTCGTCTGTTTACTTTTTCTCTTTACATCATAAAAGGTCTCTTCCTGAAATGACATACGCAAACAAATAAATGGGCCTGTAGTAGTTATATTTACTACTCCAGATATCCTTAATAGACAGTCTTCCTTTACTTTTAGCACTGGAAATGCACCCTTAATTGGTATTGAATGAATTATCACCGTATGTAGACCTGAATCCAGTGTGTATGTGTTGTCTTGTTTCTGCAGACTGTTATTGTAACCCTTTTGGTTCAGTCCATGATCGCTGTAATGACAGAGGATTTTGTGAGTGTAAGGAGGGAACATCAGGGCCCAAATGTGATAAATGTCTGCCGGGATATATCTGGCACAGCTTGGGCTGTCAACGTAAGTAACTCTGAGAGTCGCCCCTCTTCTGCAGCTTCGCTGCCTCTGTGTCTGTATGTTATCACGTGCAGCTACTTAAGAGCAGAAAATGAGCAAAACATTCTACGAGCTGTAAGAATGCCATAGCATCTGAACCTTTTCAGAGACTCACAGATGAAGACATTGGCTGTGCCGTCCATTTATTTCATTATGCCTTCAGTGTCCTCTCTCCTGCTAACTCCTTGGAGAAGCTCTTACTGAAATATATAAATATGCATGTCTTCCCAACTGTGAAATAAGTTTTGTATACTAAAGCATCAGTATATTAACTCCAAATTTAAAATTCCTACTAAAAGACAAAAAGGTGATTTCTCTGCATGTCCACTTTTTCTGTAGTAAACTTCAACTTTTTGAGTAATTTAACCATGCTTTCAAGGTTTAAAACTCTGTCCCTGGACAATAAAATTGCGAAACACTGGCTCATTACCTGTTATAATTAGTGAAAATGAGACAAAAGCTAAAGGAAAAACAAATAAAATAAAAAATGGAGGTAAACTTAACATCCTTAAAAATAGGAGTTGAAATGTTGTGTAAATATTGCTACAGCAGATGTTGTTTCAATGCTTAGCTGTATATTTAGCTTCTCTTCTGGTTAACAGGTCTTGTGAACAAGTGAGTGGAAGTACCACATTGAATTACTCTTTTATGGCAAATTTCTTTTGTAGTAAATTCTTAAGATTTATTCTTTGTAAGTGTTTTGATCAACTACTTCCAGAAACTCTGGAGGCTCCTCTCATATTTTTCTTCCACCTTTTTTCCTTGTCTCTCTACATTCTCACACACACATTAACGACAGAGTTCTACAAGAGCTTGCTTTTCATTTTTAAGGCTGAAAAACACAAGACAGAATGTAATTACTAACACTGATTAGACAGAGCTTTTAAAATTATCCATATAGTCACACAAATGCTCTAAATACTCTAAAAAAATGAACCTTATATCATAAATGTTAAAACAAACAATAAAGCTAGACATTACTGCTGACTGTTGAAGGGATGATACCTCTAAAGTAGAAAATCAGGGTTTGTGATAATTCTGCAAATGTATGTGGAAAGAAAAGCAATAAAGAACTTCAGGAAAGATTGTGATAATTAGCCAATTAGCATTAAAGATAGTGTATGAAGAGAAAGGCAGTTTGCATAAGCAATGCAGTTAAATGTTACCCGAGAAAATTGGACTTCCTCAGTTTCTGCCAGAAAGCTCCTGTTTATATTTAGCAGGTTATTTAAACTATGCTTTTCACATGTGGTTGCTAACTGTATTCTCATTTTCTGGATGACTACACTTGACTTTTGAGTCACAAGATTATTGGGTACTTACAGTTGCAGCAGAAAGTAAGCAAAGTAGTATTTCAAATTGTTAATATTTAAATCAGATCATAGGTATCTCAAAAACAAGGCACTCAGATATCATAAGATCTCCCTTTGCAGTGCAACCCTTAGGCAGAAAGAGGTTGTCACCACCACTGTACCTTACCCTGGGTGCTGGCAAAGTAAGCATTAGAATTTGTGAAGCACTGAGATACTGGTTGTAGTGAAAGGAACCACAAGAAAACCAAAATAGAAAAGGAAATCAATGCGATTCTCTGCAGCAGAGTTTGAATCAAGTACAGTAAACACGACATCCACACAGTGGGTCTAAAAAAGATATTAAGTAGCTGAGATATTGAACACATCTGGAGGTCTGTGGAACAAAATTTACAGTCATGTAATTAATATAATAATCTGTATACTAGCTTAACAGTCCAATTACTTATTAATTGCAGTATTTGCTATCTTTTCAGGTTTGGACATTATAACCCAAATAGTGTTCTTTTAATGAGGGGTTTTTTTTGAGCCAAACATATAATTAGGCTGATTTTAGCTGAATCAGCATATTTTTAAAAGCTTTAGATAGTTTCTGGAAATGCAAGCTAGTGCCTTTATATGTGCTGACAAAACTAAGTTTCCTTCACTGTTGTAATTTGCTGAACAAATCTTAGTCTGACTGTGTAATTGCTTGATATTCTCCAAGTTTCACTATGAGGGTGGTGAGGCACTGGCACAGGTTGCCCAGAGAAGCTGTGATTGCCCTATCCCTTGAAGTGTTCAAGGCCAGGTTGAACAGGGCTTTGAACAATCTGGTCTAATGAAAGGTGTCCCTGCCCATGGCAGGAGGGGTTGGAACTGGGTGATCTCTAAGGTCCCTTCCCATCCAAATTACTCTAGGATTCTATGATCGAATTATCTGATAAAATTGAGAAGAAAAACAACTAGATGCAGTTGTCAGTTTTATGGAACAGATCCTAAATTGCTGTGTTTTACCAAGCATGCATTGATTTAAATCTCATTTCAAGTCTTGCCATGGAAGAACAAAATTCCAATTCATTTAATTTTGTAGTGTGGCATTTTAGATTTGTTTGTTATTTTCCCATTGAAATCTAAACAAATGACTGGGCAGGCAAGCAACCCCCAATATAGAATTAAAATGAGAACTCATTCTGTTGCTTTAACAAAGCTCAAAAAGATTATTTGTCTGGACATGTAGCATGTGGGTTTGATCTGTTTTGCTGAGCTTGTGCTGTATAGAAATGTCTACATGCCAGGATGGGTGCACACACAGACTCAACAGACCAGTATGTTTCTTCACATTTTGTTATATATAGCCTATCGGCATTAGGAAAATCTAGTCTTATGGTTCTTTGTTGCTAAAAATCATTGACCTAGGGCAATCAGAAGCTTGACCTATAAATAAGCCTGTAACATAAGTAGTTTAATTAATTGTACAAGTTTATTAGAATAGGGATTGACTTAGTTTTGTACATGACTAATCATCTTTGGGGAAAATCCAATGTTCAAACCTCACTGTGTTTTCTAAGACTCACAGTCTACCATTTGATAAATTACTGTTCAGAATCTACCTTGTACCACACATGGGCAAAAGACACAAAAGCTATTATCCTCAGAAGTATTAATTTAGGTACTGATTTAATTTAAAACCTCTGAGGATATAGGCAGAGCACTCATCACTTGGCATCTCTGTGCATATAGAGGTCAGATGCAATTTTAGACTTCGCCTCCCATATAAAAACCACTGTTATTGAATTCAGGGTTTATGCTGTGTAGACATAGCAGTCAGCAGGGTCTGGTTGGTACAGGAAGGTTTGCTGCCCTCAGAAAAAGAGGCATAATAGGTGCAACTGTGTCTTGTGCTACTTCTAAGCCCTCCCCAGAACCATTCATGCCGCAGGCATTGTGCAACTGGGGAAGCTGCTGGGCTTTAGCTGTCTGCCTCCCTCCCATATACTGACAATGGTTTTCTCACCAGCATGCATACATAGATCAAAGCACAAGGAATGAATTAAGAACAGAACAGTCTAGTCCCAAAACCTTTTGCAGAAACAGGAGAATTCTGCAGAATTGCAGAAGCATGAGAAAATTCATAGCTATATGTTCCATTTTTCTATTTTATAAATAGAAAAAAATATAATTTATAAATTATTTCTGTTAAAAATTAAAATAAAAACAGAAGAAAAAGGCCTGGCAACAAATTTAACCACCAATTCTAGCTGGTTTGGGCCAGTCTTAAACTGAACACGGTGCTTTGTGATAAAAGGAACCTGTAAGAAAGGGTAGAAACATTTATACACAGAAGAACTGCCAGAGTTTCTAAAAATTGAATGAAGGCAAGATATTAAGAGGAACATTAATTTGATTTTCTAAGTGTACTGCTCATAGCCTTGCATATTTCTTATTTCTGGGCCATGACATTCCAGGTGACTAAATTCTTTTGCATACATTCTGGAGCATTTAAAAATAACACATTTTAATTTCACGCACACAAGAATCGATTCCAAAACCAGCTGCAAATTTGTCCAGTCAAGGAAAGAAAAAGTGACTCTTTTGTCAATCTCCATTTATGAGCACAGCTTGAACTTTCATTAGGCATGATCACCCCACACAGAAGGAAAGGTGAGGGAAAGTCCAATGATTAATTTTATTCACACTCTCTCTTCATATTGTCAATAAGCAAATAAAGACATTGAAGCTGCAGCCGCACAAAAGCCTAGACCAAGCGCAAGACTTCCCAAAGGTAGCTTGTACCCAGATTAAATTCAGCGTGTTATTTGTTGTGAATCACTGTTTCAAATAACCTTTGTTCAATGGTGCAAATCTTAAACAATTAGTGAATTCGTTTTCAGACATATGCCTTAAGTCAAGCTCTGAATAGTTTGCTTTTTTTTTTTTTTGTTTACCCTTCTTCATTCATTTTAAATAGATTTTATTAAAACAGGCAAATAACTACACTCTTATCTTCAATGCTTAAGTTGCACTCAGTTCTGGTATCTGTCTACCAGACTGAACTTGTGTTATTCTGCATCCTGTTAGATAATTCATATTCTGTCACATTGTAAATTCAATTTCTTATATGATTATGTAAATATAAGGGGTTTTATGTGGATCTTATTATCTGTTACAAATGTTAGAAGCTGAGGCATTTGATCAAAATCATCGTGAAGGTTGGTTTGCCAAAGAAAATCAAACCTGAAATTGTAACTCTGAAACTTATATTCGCATCTGCTTTTGGACATTTGTGTTTACAGTGCAGCAAGAAAAGATGTGTTGCTATCCATTTCTATAATAAATAAATAAATAAATCTTTCCTTGGGGGGAGAGGAATAAATATTTAAATAATTTTTAATATTTATTTAAATATTAAATACAACCTCTCCCACGGAAGGTTAGTGATCTGTAATGCATGGTTGTATACAAATGTATCCTGCGAATCCTCAGTACCTACACACCGAAGTTGTGCCCTACCTTTCAGTTCACTTCTGCGACTGCCTGTGTGGGGAGCCATAGACAATCCATCTATACCTTTTTAAATTATTAAAATCTTTCTACCAGTAGCAGTTTTAATGCTTTCAGCTGGTCAGGATTACAGTGTCTATGTATGTGCTTTCAATTCTGGTGTGTTTTGGT